ATTATGTATCAGTTTTTCCTTTTCTTTACATTGATCACCATTACATTTCTTCTGCTGTGAATAGTGGCATCCACTGGGTCCTTGCTCTTAGTACATGTTCTTTTTTTTTAAAGTAATTTCTAATGAAAGTTGAATGGATTCCCAGAATGTTGCCCCTTGGAAGTTGCTATAGAGAAAGAATATGGCTATATATTATTTTTGCTTTCTGAATGGAAGCTGTAAATGCAAAAAGCTACAATAAAGCTGCAGTTCAATAAATGAAAAGTGCCACTACTCTCATGCTTAGGTGACCAGAGATTTAGCTTAATATGTAGCGCTTCACATACAACTATGTGACAGTTGCATCTTCCTGTTAAGTATAATGCTCCCCCTGAAACATAGGTTATTAATATTTATCAATTGCAACATATCATGAGCCTTCTTTGTACTATAATATAGAATCTGTCACCATCTGATAGTCCTTTGCTGTCACAGTTTAAATGGGGCTGTTAATTGCTTAACTGGGAGTTGTCATTAGATAGCTTCCTTGGTATGGAAGTCTTTGCTTTTTAATTCAGCTTTCTCTCTTTAGTTCTTTCTTGACCTTCCTTCTCTTTGGATTCTTTTTCAAGCTAATGAGGTTTCCTCTGACATCACACGCAGAAAAGGAGAAATATTATCGGGATGAAGGATTTTATTCTCTTTTACAGACTACAGCACTTTGATGCTGTTACACGTTTTGTGACTTCCCTCTTACTGCCTTTCCTTGGGAGCAAAATGTCCTCTGAGGCATTTGATAATTTTAGATCGTCTGACAGGAATGTCAGTTTTAGACCCAAGACCTGTATCTCTCCAAGCATTTTGTGTAAGGCTAAGTAAGGATATGTTTATATAAAGGGCTCCATTTGTAGCTCTTAAATGGAGTAACTCGGTAATACATATTTTCCTTTACATTTAGCATACTTGGTAGAACAAGATTTAATGATAGGGTGGGATACAAGCTATATTTAGTACAAAGAAATAAAACCAAATCTGTGGTGTGAAGCACTTTGTCCTGAGGGCCCAGTGCCACACTGCAAACTTTGTAAGGGTACTGGTTCAGATTATGTATGCTCCCATGGGCTGAGTGCCCTGTGCAGTTTGAAGCACAAGAGTAGCTCTATGAGCAAATATTGCCACTACTTCCATCCATGCCCTCTCAGAACTTGCACACTGAGAGTCTAAGCATGATATGTCAGGGATGGTCAGAAGATCTACCTCATCAGCACACTGTTAAGTCCAAACTGAAATGGTAATTAATATCAGTGCACCACAGCTGCCATGTTTGTGAAATGGATACAGACACATCAAATCGCCCACAGTAGGCACTCAACTCTGGCTGACCATAATGGTAGGAAATAGCACAGAGAAAGAGAGAGTTTACAATTCCTTTAGCTGCTTCCATTTCTAACTGATGTTCAGCATGAGTAAAGGGTGCAGTGTTTGTACCAAAAATGTCTCCATTATCAACACAATCCTGGAGAGTTTATTCTTTCCCGTGCCTTAATATTGCTCAGGGAAAAGCCATGCATTTCATTTTCCTTTTACTCCACTCCTGCATTTCTGAGTGTGCACTGTTTGGATTGGATCAATAAGACTAATTAAAAACTTCGCTTGCTAACTATGCTACCTCAGCAGATCTCCTATAGATCTGTCTGTATGAGCCTTGGAGGTTCATCAAATCACATAGTGATTCATGACAGTGTCTTTAAGACCACAGGAGCAGAACAAAGAAAATAGCACTGAAATACCAGAAAGCTTATGCACATATTAATTATACTTAAAGCTATAGAATTTCCTTGACGGCTTACCTAAATATTGCTTGTTCCAAAGCACCCCCTTGTGCTGGCACTAGGTAAGACAAATTGTACAAGAAGCTTCTGGCTCTCTGATACCTCTCTATCACTTGGTCAGGATCTGTGTTTTTTATGTCACCCAAACCCTTTTTTCTGCTGCAGAGGCCTTTTGCTTAATGGCTCATGTCCAAAGTCCTCCTGAGGTTTCAAAGTACACTACTGAACCCAATCAAACTGATTGAATATAGATGGAGGTAGCCTTCAGACTGTAGATCCTTATTGTTGATGACTAGGAAAATGAAATTACGTGAACATCGTATCTGTGGGGAAGTCTAACTAGATTTAAGCATTATGAATTTCTGAAGGGAGCCACTTAATAATAAGTTCATATACTGTCCATAAAGTTTTTGTGTATGTTATTCACAGTTGGTATGCCAAAATATTAAAGACTGTAGTTTTGAGACTTCCAGAGTTTGAGTGACTTTAGTCATTTCCTTCTGGGCTGTCCAAAACTGCTTTTTAGAAATATCTTTTTTCTGGAATTCAGGCTCCTCTTGGCAATGTCATGAGTTGAGAGGAACAAATACGAAAACCCTCCAAGTCTACAATAATTTTGGAAAATCGTGCCTGAACTATGTAATAATGATTAACATTAATTTAGATAATGTTTTTGAAAAGCAACAACCATCACTTCTACAATCTAAGCTAGTGATAACAATATGTTTCACTTCTCTTATATCTAACACATGTATCCACTGCCAGCAATATTAGATTGGGCAATCTCTGTCAGTGGCAATGTTCTGATGAGACATCTCCTTGACAGAGACAGTGCACTTTCACTGGGGAAAAAATCAATTCCATTTTGTTTTTTCTGACTTGAATGTTGAAGATGTTTTGGAAAATGCCCAGATTCTGAGCTTCCTCAATTTTTTATTCTTTATTTCTTATGCTTTCTGTAACAAAAATAGAGCACAATTTCCTTGAGGGATTCTGTATAATTCTTGGTGTCTCAGATATTAATTTGGCAATCATTTAATTGCATCACAAGAGCTATTGGGTGAAATTAAATTACAAATAGATGGAAGCAGACAATGCATTATTAAAAAAAAAAAAAAAAAAAGTGAGGTATCTGCAAGTGTTTGAAATTTTCCCCAAGGCACCCTACGTTGTCCAACCTCCAGAGAACCACTGCAGCAGAGCCAGAATACTGCTTTGCACAACAGCTACAGCACATAGGCACCTGAATTCACTACCTACACAGGCTTTTTCATCTGTAGCTTGCATATTTATATATCCTACGCACATTCCCTGTCTCCTCAGTTCCTTGGTTCTCCCATCCTAGCTGCATGTGATGTGCTCCGCCTCTCTTTCCTCCTACAATGCCACCCTGCCAGCAGAACCCATCCCATACTCCCTGTGTTGCCTTACGTGGTGCTTTGAGCATTCCTGTCAAGGCAGCAAAACAAATAGCTGATAGGTTTAGGCACATCGATCATTTCATTATTGACATAACTCTTTAAGAATTAGCTTAGGTAAAAAAATACAACATTCTGTAAATGCTATCTCAAAGGCTATGTGTTTAATGCAGTTTAAGTGCACCAGTGAAGTTTGAATTTGAAAAGGGCACACTGCCTGTGAAAGGCAATGATTTTACATTTGCAAGTGCTGAGTGAAAAGACAAAATTTTGTGGAAGTCAGGTGTGCTGTGAAGTGCTACTGTTGCACCTGATATGAAGCAAAAATGAAAGCAGTAATGCATGAAATACAGATTTTAAGTTGTGATAAGTGCAGATCTAATACAACTTTTATTGCAGACTTCTTACTGCTGACTCCATAAAATACATCACATAAACAGCTGTTAATCTGTTCACTTTATCTTTTAACATTCATTTGTTTAGTAATCAGTTCTCATTTGTTCTACATATGGTATAGCTTCTCTTTTATAGCAGCTGCGTATAATGAACATTTGGAGACTCAAAATGTATTACAAAATTTACTGTTTAACATTTTTCTACATTATTTTTGTATCTGTCACCAAGGACTTTCGAACGAAAGTTAGGAATTAAAGTCATTAAACATAGAGTAAGGAAAGTTTAGGTGCTTTATCCTCTTTCTGAACTGATAATTTGTAGTCGAATTTCCTGTGACCGTGCTTCACACTCTGCTTAGCTCCTTTAAGCAATTAATTTTCTCTATTTATACTGCCCATTCCCTTCTGTGATTCACTGACGTCAACATGTCAAATTTGATTCACTTGTCAGTTTTGTTCTGTATCGTATGAGAGACCTCTTGGTAACTCACTCAGAGTAACTTACAGACCTGAGTGCATTTAGAGATTTTAGAAAATGACAGTTTAAAATATTTAAAGTATCAAGTGTTCTGGTTCAGTGTTGGGATCTGTGGTCATTAAAACTGAGCTGTACGAACATAGTTCCCTCCTGGAGTGTTTGAGTGTCATCTTAACTCCTTTTTTCCAATATTCTGATCTTTAACAAGACCATTTTATTACAGTAAGTGTTCTGTATTGTTTATTCATAATTCAGTTGTGTTCTGATTCCTGGAAAGAATGAATAAATTGAACAAATGCTTTTCTTGACAGCAAAATACGGGTGAAAATCTAGCTATGTACTGCAACTCTGCTAATATTAGAGTATGATGACTAATAGCACACATGCCCTTGGATTGGCCAGTAGCATGTCCTTAGTGTTTACTGTTGACCTTGACCTGCACTTTCTTGTGCGGAGTCTATACAGCAGCAGGCAGAGAAGAAGTTCATCTGTTGGATCTGATGCCATTCTGAAAACAGGAAATTCCTGGCCAGTTCTGCCCAATTCAGCCACAATGCCAGGTGGGTTGTGGAGATGATTAAAGAAAGCAAACTACTGCCTAAGTATGCCGAACGTATCGTATGCTGTTTTCAGACGGCTGATTTTTTCGGAATAGCTGCAAGTTAATTTGGTATGTGTCACCAGTCATGTAAACAGATAGATATTGGCATTGTGTGTGCAAACGCTCAGTTGGGGAAAATATACAAAAGATGATAGTGTTTTAGAAAGAATTTCAGGCATTTCTGCAAGGCATTTTCTTTGCAAAAGATTTAGCTGTAAGAGAACTGTGCTTGTTTCTAAATTTAACCCTACTAACACCTTTACCACCTTCTCTTTTTTGTTTCTTTTTCTCTTCCAGTGCCACCTTGGGCCTTAATAGCCATAGCCATAGTTGCAGTCCTATTAATCCTTACCTGCTGCTTTTGTCTCTGTAAGAAATGCTTGTTCAAAAAGAAGAACAAGAAGAAGGGGAAGGAGAAGGGAGGGAAGAATGCTATTAACATGAAAGATGTTAAAGATTTAGGGAAAACCATGAAAGACCAGGTAAAGTACCTCTCCTTTTCTTCAACTCTTGAGTTATGTTTGCAGAATTCTGCCTGATCTGTCTAACAAAAAAATGTTGTGCTCGTTGCCTTGATAGTTGCTCTGTGAAGAGAGGACTGATTGTCAGCATCTTCTCAATAGCATCTTGAAGTGTGAATATGGGTATGGCATCACTGATAAAGCAGCCAACCCGTTTCTCTCCTCTGCTAATAAAACGAACGGATTTGTAATGACTCTTCTGGAAGGAGGAAGTTTACTGAGAGTATCTTGGCTGTCAGAGAAATGTAGCAAAGTTGTACAACTTCCTATTTTCAGGACTTTGACCAAGACCAAGTATAGCATTTATATCTTTCTAGCGGTAGTTCTGAGCACAGCTGATAAACAAACATAGATCTTTACTCTGAATCTCCTTTTACACAAAACCTTAAGGTCAACTGAGAAACAAACAACAGCATAGAAAATGAGAAACATGCAAACAAAGGAAAACAAAAAGGATTGCATAGAGCATTCGGCACAGTGATACTGAGAGAATTTATTTTGTGCAAGAGGTGAAGCTTAAAGTTATCAGAATATACTTGTAGCTCTAAGTCAGTGGAGTAACTTAGAGGAATAGATAAGCATAATGCCCTTTGAGTAGTATCATCTTCATGAGAGCAGACAAACTTGTTGTTTAGATCTGCTTCATTAAAGAAAGCAAAAGTTGCAGGACCTAATCCTCAGTACAACAGACTTCATTAATATGTTCCTGAAATATTACTTTTTTTAATCAGGATTTTATTATTGTCCTTCTTCCTTACAATTCTGGTGTTATAAATTCATAGGTAAAGCTAGTGAGAATAAGCAGAAGAATAGGGAAATAAATGCAAAGAATTCATGTGTTCTTATTGCATTGCCAGATTTCTTAAGCAAAGACAGAGGGCTCTATTTTTCTAACAAAAAGTACTGAGAAGACTTAGAGAATTGCAATATGAAACCTCTTCAGTAGTTGACAATAACTGTAAAGATATTGCATGTGTCTGTGCTCCCAAGACTTTTCATAAGATTTAGCCAGAGTAATTCAGAAGCACTTATCCAGCCAATGAGAAAAGATTAAAGCAAAGTATGGAATGAGTAGTTCCTCCCATTAGCTGGAATCTAGTGTGTGAGGAAAGACAGGTTGATTAGTAATAGAAGCCAAATCTGGGAGCCTGAGGAGCATCAGATGAAGAGCAAGATCCCGGAAAAGCCTAGAGAAGAGTAGCTAAGAGTTGTATGGAGCAATCCAGCAGAAGTGGTGGGATGTCACTGTACTCTGATGGAACAGCCACTGGTGAGGCTCATCAGCCAGTCCTCAAGAGACCTGCTACAGGCTAGCGGAGTTTTCCAGGCGTGTAAGTCATGACAGGGGAAGAATATCAAAAGTGGGTGAGGAGATCTTGTAATTTTTCTAGGTGGCTCCAGCTGTTTCCAGTTTCTGAAAGGACAGTTTTTGTTGTTGCTCAGTGGACAGCAGTCATTGCTGAAATGTCAACGTGCAAGGCTGCAGTTAATTTTTCTAGGCTATACACTGTACCAATAGAGTAAGCTTTAGATGGTGCCCTGGTGCACAGCTTCAGCCTTCTTCCACCAGGAGGGAAGATGCTTTTCATGTACCATGTTGGTGTACTGAAGTGCAAAGCTTCAAGTATAGACACAAGGCAAATTCGTATCTGCAAACAACCTCAGCAGTACACAAAGTCAGTAATGTAGATGTACCTTTTCAAGGTCACAAAGATAAGTGAGGTTGAACTTGCAATACAACAGAGCAGAAATTTGGTGTTTTCCTTTGAAAAAGATTTTGTATTTTACTGATCTTGTTTTCTCCGTATGATGAATATGAAACAAACCCTTTTACTTTAAGCACCCAGATTGAGGATTTATGAATTCCCTGTACTTAATTTAGAGGTTGTATTATTAAGTAATTTTGAGTTATTTCCCCACAAGCCATACATGGTAAGTCACTTCATCAATTGTTGGTTTACCCAGGGCTACTTTTAGCTAGCTTCTTTCCATTGAAGCAAAGGTAATTCAAAAGAACTCTGATTATGTCTGTGAAAAAATCCCTTGCGATGTTGTTTGCTGTGTTCTACCAATGTTACTAATTATAACAAACCTAACACTTCCTTGCAGGATAAATAATGTGCAGTTTGTTTATTGATATTAATGTGGAGTTTCTTCCGTATCATTTAAGACCACTGTTGTATTGAGAATATATAATGGAGTGTTTTTAATTGTATTTGTTAGGACCTGGATAAATGACCATGGATTCTTGGAAAATAAATATATAAAATGCAAAATTTTATTATGTAATTAGTATTGAATTTAATAACTTTATTTTTTCTGGAAAATTTTGATTAAAAGCTGATTCACGGCTCCTTATTTATTATTTATCAAAAAAGTAGCTCAAACTTTGAAATGTTACACCGTTAGGTATTTCAAGATGTTTCCATTCAAAGTATTCTGTATAGGTATGTGAACATATTTTGCCCAAATATTTTGTGTTTTAACTGACGTGGTTTGGTCTGCAAAGTAAACCTGATGAGGATAGATTCTCAGCTGAGAAATATAAATGCTGGACCCTTACTAAGTGACTGCATCACCAGCTCTCTAGCCAGTTTTCCTCTTATGTGTCTGGGATTTCTAAAGCAAGTTGATTGAGTTACCTCCCTTAATTTCATACTAGTTGGTAATGCATACATTTTAGGTCCTTGGCATTGAATAGTTTCTAACAACTTAATTCCTGATTTTTCAAAAGTCAGCTGTCTTTTTTTTTTTTTTTTTTTTTTCAATATGAGTGATTTTTTATTCTGGCAATTTAATCTGAAATTATTAGTGCAGGCTTTAGTATACCTAGCTGAGCTCAGTGCAATGTTAAACGTAAAATACTTCACAAAAGAGGAATGAATCACTTTCGAGGTTCTGTCATAGAACAGAAAGGGGTGAAAAAAATGGAAAAGTAATTGTAAATCAGGATGTTAATCTATTGCCTTTATAAAGGGCAATGTACAGTACCAAAAATCTTAAATGTTGTCAAGAAACAATAAGCTTAGTTCAGTCATCGTTAAGTCTGAACATACGAGTGCTAATTACATGCTGCCTTCAGCTGAGAGAACATAATAGCAGTTGATAGGCACTTGGCACCTTGCAAGATCCTGGTTCCCTAGGCACACAAAACTTGAAAGGGAGCAGCATTTGGCAGTATCAGCCTCTGGAAGTGTAATTTCCAGCTTAGCCTGGTTTAGTTTGTCAGAGAACTTCTGGCTTACATGTGCTCATGCTGACCTGCATGTCCATGCCAAATCCTTATAGAGTCGTAAATTTGGCATAAGTGAAGATACTTTTGACATAGAGACTCAGTTGGAACAATAGTCAAGCACAATAGCTAGATATTATAGAAATTGAAATGATTTTTGCTTCTGTTAGACTTGCACTTCAGAATGACCACTTTGCTGAACACAACTTTTAGTCTGATTTTTAAATGAGAAACTGTGAAATAATATAGATTTTGAGCAAATTTGATTGCAATGAAGTGAGAGAAGAGTTTGAAATAAGACAAGGCTTTCAGTCTTCAAAAACATTTCTACATCTCTCCATGGTTACTTTTTCAAGCAGAGTACACAACTCTGCCAAGAGCTGGGGATAGGAGAAGATTCAGTCTGGGGAGCCGAATTATTATAAGAATGTACTAAAAAAGGTCATTTCTCCATGGTTTTTGCTAATGTTTGTATGTGGATGTTTTAATTTTTATTTCTTCCTTCTATGTCCTCCTTGTCTGTGTTGTGTCTCATGACTGTTCTGGATTGTCACTTGCGGTAGGTTTACTTTGCTATTCGGATGCACCTAGTCTAAAGCTCTGATACATATAGTCTTCTGACAGCTCTGGCTCCTCAGCTAAGATTTGTATGTAGTAGCTTTGGTACACACATCAAGAGGCTGAACCAAACTGATTGGGTATTTTCTTGGTGGGGGAAGGCTAGAGGAGGGGAAAAGAAGAGGTTGTTATTTTTTCTGTAGTTCAAATATTTCGTCAAACTGTACTAGAAAGCTCAAGTTTGAAATCAGTGGGTACCTAAAAATAACTTGCTAGTGTTATTTCCATCTGCTATAAATGTCACCGTATCAACAGTAGACGGAAGCAAAAAGTGTTTTTTACTGTCTTTTTCTTAGCATCAGTAAAATTATTTGTACCCCATGAAACTTGCTGTGGGCTGTCACATCATCCCAGTATAGGGCACGTGCTTTAAGTCCATAGTACTCCATGACAAACTCTTTTATGTGATCTTACTGCAGATTTCTCTGGGTGCAGCTGAGTGACTACTGGCACCAGCATTTTTATGAGATCTTCCCATCACACTTTTCTTCCTTGTAACTTCCCAGTGTCTTCCATGCCTCCAGTGGCTACTTTTTACCTTAAGAAAAAAAGCCCCAAACACCCAGCCCTAGAGATGCTGTAATAGCTGCTGATTTATTGGGTCTGAATATAATACCAATGTACAGCAAAATTCTTGCTTAAGCTCAATCTATGGGCTGAGGAAAGAATAGACTTAATCATTTCAGTCATGAACAGTGGCACTGAAAAATTACTAAAATTTAGCTCTATTGCTTGGAGATTGGTTGCTGTGGTCATCTGAACCTTTTATTAGGTCAGAAAGCATTTTTGGAGAAGGAGATTTAATATCTCAGTCATTCCTCATTGCATCAGGCTGAAACACCGTCACTAGTGAAACGTTTTTGTTTTACAATGGATGTGTCTATTAAATGAAACAGGAGACCTGGGATCAGGTATATGTGCTATACTCTGGAATATACAGAGTATACTTCTGACTTTCTGTGGCCTTCAGTTGTTCACGAACTTCTTTGGATCTTTATTTTTCCTTTATGTAGGCCTTTCTTTTCCACTGGGGTTAAGTACTATCTTCATCACAATATTATGTTAGTTTTCATGTATTAATTACAGTGAACTTGTGGAACATTATAAAGTA